ATGAAATCATACAAATAGAATTTTGTAAACTTTAATGATAGCTTTTGGACATGAGAGTAATGGAATTTTTATTGTCACTCTTCTAAATCAAATAAATATAAACAGCCAAATGTTTAACACAGAATTCTTTATCTTGAGACAGAGTAGAGCATCTCTAAGGAAAATATTCTGAGATTTCAAGTTAAAGGTATAATATGATTTTTTGTGGAATCTCAGAACTAAGAAGAAATACACACTTGAAGGTTATATAAAGATTAAATCATGTAGAAAAGAAAACTACAAATGCCAACTATTAGCAACTGCATGACCAGAGAACTTGGAAAAACTTGCTGACTATGAACTCTGAAAACATTATCCAAAATCCTTTTCCCAGTGGACTTATCCAAATCATACTAACAGACCTTACAGAGCATAAATTGTTGACTGAACTCTAAAAGTATGTACATTGATTTAAGGGTAACTAATGGTGTCCATTCAATTCCAAATAATAATTTGATAACTGTTGACGAATAAAATTTGACCTTTGCTTCAACCATTTAAGAACTAAACTGAAATTTCTAAAAATGAATACATTTCTAAAGCCTCAAAGTCTTTCTTAAATTTTATCTAAAATGTCTCTATTTCAAATACTAGCCTTATTTTTAAGCAAAACAACACAGTATTTTTAAGATTAATATCCAGTTAAAAGAATTTCAAAGTTTCCCCAGGCATTGTGGCACATGCCCATATTTCCAGCACCCTTGAAGCTGAGGCAAAACCATCATGAATAGGAAACTAGCCTAGGCTACATCGTTAGAACCTGCCTCAAAAAGGAAATCAAAACCAAACAACAAAAGCAAAAAAAAAAGTTCTAAAATATAAACATATGTGTATAGCTGGACACACTTCTGTGCCATTAAAAAAAAGCCATCTATTACTGGTTACCATGCAAAATTAGTCATCTATGTAACTGAAGTGCCATCAAACTTTATCCTGTAATAAACTGACCATCATCTTTCATGTATGAGATCACCTAGACTGTCCACAAAAACTTCAAAGTATGTGTAATCTCTAGTCTTTGTCAGATAACAGGTTAGATCATGGTGGCAATCTCTTTAAAACAAAAACCAAACCAAACAAAACAACAATATCAACAACAAAACCATTTAGCTCCTGAGTCATGGGTAAGAGTTTTTATTATACAAGAAATGCCATTTGCAGAACATCAGCCTTTACTCTGGTTGTCTTTAGGCAAGGAGAAGTGGCCTGGTCACACCTAAACTTGGTGAGTTCCTGGATAGCAGAGGAACCATGGTTTCATATGCTTGAGTATTTTTAAATAGGTATGGCATGCTGGCTTTTAGATCTTTCCAAATAGAATGCCCACTATACTAAACAATAAACATGCCTGCCCTTTGGTTCAGCAGGAGACACGTTATCACCACTACAAAACTATTTTCAAAGAAGTCTTTTGCTTTAGAGGAAGATACTATTTTTCGAAGATTCTTAACTATACAAAACTAATCAACAAAGGCACTGCACTAAAGATAGGAAACAAATATTTTGGAAGGATTTTGAGATTTTATGAAACCTTATAATTTTTGTAGATTCCTAAATTAGAAAGTGATACTAACTTAACAAAAGCCCATCAAGCTTTCAAATGCCTAAAATAAAACAAAACCTATACTTTGAGCATTGGAAAGTAAATGAAATTCAAGGTGGACAGGTACATGTTGGAATGTGCTACAACTTAACACAAGTGTGCAGCTTGAAGGTTTTAATTGCTTTACCTGGCAAAAATTAGTGTTACTGAGCTCTTGACATGTGAACCTTGATAAATTTGAGAGCTATGCCTTAGTATATCATAAAAGCTAAAAAGAAAACACACCTATAGATAATAGTTAAGTAAGTCTTACAGAATTTAAAAACTGTCTCAAAGTTCAGGTGCAGGATATTGCACTTTGAAATGCAACCAGGAAAGGAATATGAAGACAATCCCTTTTTTTTTGTTGTTCCTCTCAGATGTTTGAAATTTTTATTTCCAATGAAGTTCAAAATATTTCGAGCAGTCATACGGTTGCCATTTGGTTTTATTGAAACTCAGTGCTGAGAGAGATGGTTTAGTAGGATAAACAGAGAATATTCAGAGAGCTATTGATTCAAAACAGATTCTTTTACCAGTTTAGCATGAATTCAGTTTTCATTTGCAAAAGAGGGTCAAAGAAGTTAATCCATCTATAGAAATGTTATTGTGAATAAAGCCCTAGGAAAAGATAAAACATGAGAGCAGATAGACATAGTTAGAATACAGATATCTGGCTTTCTTTCTAACAGCATTATACCTCTACTGCTAGAATAACATTAAGGTGTAGAACCTACAACACCAGGAAAATAAAACATATCCAAAGAGGATGTGTTTTAAATATATATTCACTTCTACAAAAGAAAATATCAATTCAATGTCAGAAATGTTATTTGTAGCAAAGGGTGGTGTCTGGGTGCATGTGTAATGTGTGTGTGTGTGTGTGTGTGTGTGTGTGTGTGTGTGTGTGTGTGTGTGTTAGGCTACAGATTCCCTCTTCACCACAAAGTTCATTCTTTGTGGAATAATAGTTGCTCAAATTCCAACTGCTGCTTTAATATATAGGTTCATGCAAAGCTGAGCAGAGTAATGATGGGGTACTGTGGGTTGGAGTTTCCCAGATGCATGGCAGAATGGGGAGAGGGTTTATTTTTCTCTATGAGACCATACTCAGTGACAGACTACATGAGTTCAATGCAATGGCATGTCCTCCCTTCCTAGTGACTATGGAGAAACAAACAAAAAACCACAACAAACAAAGAAAAAACAAAAACAAAACAAAATAACAACAAAAAGCCAACTTTCCTTAACAAACTGAAGAGTGACCTATTCTCAAAGTGACTTTTTCCAACTCTGCGCATTTTTACATCTGAATTGAATGAGAAGACACCATCTCCCCAGAATAATTTGTTTAAAGGCCCTTCATTTATAGATAAATTGGTAGGGAAAGGTAAAGCCATCTTTTAGAAAGTAAAGGGAGAACATGTCAGGAGGTTGTTCATTTACTTTTTATAAATGCTCAGGTCAGTTCTTGTTTTCATTATAGTTCTATCTTGGAGTCTTGATGGCGGCAATATCCACTCAGGGCTGTTTCTTGTGGTTTCCAGGATCTCATGAGTTCTTTGAAAGGAATTATTGCCCACAAATCCAACCAGCTACTAATTACTCAAAATTCAGTACAGAATTTCTGTCAGACTGCCTATGGGGTTGAAACAAAATTAAAAAACAAAACAAAACAAAAAACCTCTTCCTCCTTGATCTTTTTGTTCAAATTCATTATTTAAATTATGGTATTTCTTTCCTTGAGTTTATCCATAAGAAAATGTTGCAAAATTCAAAAAGTCATCTAATCCCTCTTCTGAAAATCAATATAATGAATAAGATGGAAAAAAACTGGATCTATTAATGAAAGTCTTGAAATAACTAGCAAATGCAATCAATCCTGTTTTCTACTTTTCTTAAACTGGCACAAAATTAATAACCCTTTTCCTTACATCTACATAATACATATTCTTCCATTTAATAGATGAGATACCAAGGCCCCCATAGGCATTACTCAATTCATTTAATAAAATAAGTCAGTGAACTTCATTGTTCTAGTTATTCATTTCCAAATAGCTCATACGTATCAGTTTGAGACAGTATAAAATTTGTAGGACATTTTTTATTTTATCGGCTTTCACTTAACCAGAAAGTTTATGGCAATCTGAAATTATAAGATGATTATATTTGACATATTCAGTTTTCTGCCCTAACTTAACTCTAGCTGAATTCCTCTGAATAGTCTTCTTAAAAGGTTTCTATATTGATTTAGCCTTCCTTCAACTTTATCAAAAATCCTGCTCAGCAGTTAAGAAAATGTATAATACTCTCAAATCAGTTTACCCAGAATTCTCCTCATCTCTGACATTTCCTGTTAGCAATTGTCAAACAACTCATTCTCTTCAATCTGTTCCTTGGCTCTCCATCTCCACTGGTCCTTTAGAATGAAATCCAATGTTTTCATCATCACACAAAACCCACACAAAACCCACTCCTGTGTAAAGTGTGAATTAACTACATTTAGACAGTGTGCTGGATAATTTTTAATATAATTGCAGTTTTTTATAACTAATTTTCAAGAATGAATCTTTCATGATTGTGAACATGTAGATAATTTAACTTTATGTACCATAATCTACCTTCCTTCATCTATTGCCACAGTGCTTCCAGGCAGACACACTTTTTTCTCATGAATTTAAATGCCATCTCTAAACCTAACTTTCAAATATCATTTCAGACAGTTGCTTTTAATCAATCAAGTCCTCTGTTTATGCTTATATATCTAGATGTAGTACATTTTAGGCAGCAAATAAAATGATCTATGCTAATGTCATATTTTACCTCAGGAAAAAATGATCTCCCCTATTTTTAGAGTCCATATTATCCATTTTGATCTCCATAATGCCCAGGACAATTTCAACAATATTTATTCTTATTTAAGAAGGGAAGAATAAAGCAAGAGGAAGAAAGAAAGAAGGGAGGAAAGGAGGGAGGGAGAAAGAGAGGAAAAGAAGGAGGAAGGTAGGAAAGAAAGGAGTAGGGAATCTAAGGGTAAAGAAAGAAATGGAATTTAATCATGATGACTTTGAAATAGGAACATTTCACATCTTTCAGCAGGAGTTAAATTATATAAATCTAATGCATAAACAAGTTGACATTTAATGTAAGTGTATATACCACACAATTACATTGGGTTAATTATTCTTTACAGATATAAATCTTCAAGGGATTAGGTTTCTGCTTTATTAAATAATACTTTATTGTTATTTACTTTCTTTACATTAAACTGGCAGCATTTCTAGAACGAAATATTGCTGTTTTATTCCTCATGAGTGACTAAATCCACAAAGCAAGTTGTGAAAAAAAATTAAGAATAATTGGGTAGATTAGTACTTACCAAGATATCTTTGCCAGCCCACTTGCATTCATCCCTTCTGGTGTAAGATACTGGCCATACAATCTAAGGACAAAGAAGAAACATTATTTTCCAATTTTCTCTTCAAGAATCTTAATTGTATTGTTTGTTTTCTCTCTTTCTCTTCTTCTCTCTATCCCTCCCTCCATTAATTGGTCCCTGCCCTTCCTCCCTGCCCTTCCTCCATCCCTCTCTCCTTTCTGTCTTTCTTTCTTTGCTTCCTAAGGGACTAGATGTTTAACTGAAGCATTGTTTGTTCTGGAAAGATAAAGGCAGAAATGAAGCCACAAATGCACAGCCCTACAAAAAATTCACCCTCCTACTATGAACAAAACTTAAAATAGTTGAATATGTGTTTATGTTTTCAATTCTAATGTTTGATTAAATTCTTCCAAATGGTATTTTTGGGAATATGATGACAGTGTTAGATGGGCCAAAAATGATACTTGTGTCTTGGACAGTTTGCCATATTTCTCTTCATAATAATTCAAATACACTTAACTAAATCTTAACAAAATTTTACCAATATCCTGAACAATTCAAATGAATGTTCTCTGCATTGGACAAAACCATTTATTGTACTGTTATTCAGCTTCCTCTTCTCGGAACAGTAGTTAAGTTTGGGGAGAAAACATCCACGTCAAAGAATGATCCACAGACAGTGGCAGTTAATCCATCAAGTGTGCGGTAAAGCTTTTATCTTTGTAATGATTGATTACTATTCACACAAGAACCTTCATATAATTTAATATCAGTGTTTATAAACTTTAGCAAAAGTTGTGATATTCAATCCAGTAAATTAAGGCCAAAATAGATCATATCCATGAACAAGAATTTGAGATATATTGAAATAACATATGATAGCTGAATAAATGAATTTCAAGTTCATGTCACAAATACAAGAGGCTTAAGAATAACTGGGTAGGTGCTTCTTTTTGTCATTAAGCTTTTGAATTGTATATTCTTTTCTTTAACATTCTTTTCTTTCCAAATAGGCCTATGTGTCCAAATTAAAACTGTCATCATTGACCATGTTTCACAAGCTTTTTACCATGTAGTCACATAATAAAAACATTCAAGATTAGTAAATGAGTCTTCCTGCAACCCACATTACTCTGATTAAGAAAATACTGTAGTGAGTTCAAGAGAGTCTCACCCCCTCCCACTCCATTTCTGTCTCCAGGTTGTCTGTGGAAATTCAAGTGACCTGTTCTGCAAACTTTTCTCTAAGATACCGTAATAATATATGGCAGAGGGGAAATTTATTCCCTCTAAAAAACAAGCTGTTTTCCCATTTGTTTCCTAGCTTTTGATTGTTATTATTGACCTCATTATGTGGATTTACTTTTATGCCACATATTCATTTGCCACATATGACACATTCTCTTTTTCTCCTTTGCTCACAAAAATTCCAATTAGCTAATGAAGCCTAAATTTCTTGCAGAGTATCACAATTTATTTTTCAATTGTTCTTTGTAATGATTCTGTGCTTCTTTCATGGCAAGGCTTCTTTTCATATTTGTTTGTCTTTGATACTGGGAAATCAAGTCCAGGGCTTCATGAACACTAAGTAAGCCCTCTATGGGCAAGCTGCAACCCAGCCCCCATTCATGTATTTAATAAATGTGTTTTTCAGAATACCAGTTCCTCTAAACGTAAAAATGTGTTTGGCCTCTGAGAAATGGCTTAGTACCTTGTTTACCTTTAAGTTCACATAATTTATTGTTTCTATTACCTTGAAAAGTCAAGAAGGAGTATTTGTGATATAGCAAAATATCTCTTGTGGAATTCATTGTAAGATTGGATTCTTAACCAGCACTGGTGGTTCACCCTTGTAATCTTAGCTACTCAGGAGGCTGAGATCTGAGGATCATGGCTGGAAGCCATCCCTGGGCAGGACAGTATAGATTCTTTTTTTTTTTTTTGTCGGTCATGGGGCTTGAACTCTGGGCCTAGACACTGTCCCTCAGTTCTTCAGCTCAAGGCTAGCACCCTAACACTTGAGCTATAGTGCCACTTCTGGTTTTCTGGTGGTTTATTGGAGATAAGAGTCTTACAAGCTTTCCTGCCATCTATCTGTCTAGCTAGCTGGCTAGCTATCCATCTATCTATCGACATATGAAGAAGTTGGTTATGGTGGTGGTAATGAGGTTAGAATTTAGGGTCCAACAGTTAATTAGGCAAATGCTTTATCACTTCACCCATGCCTCAAGCCTATTTTTATTTTAGTTATTCTTCATGAAAGATCTGTTATTTTACTTGGGGCCAATGTTGTAAGTAAAATCTTCCTTGGAATGAAAGCCTCCTACTTCCTGGTAGCTGGGATTGTAGATGCATTCCACTGCACCTGGCTTCCTCTTTCCTGGAGTGTGGGAACTCTAGAGTTCTGTGGGGACTGCGGCTGGCTATAAGAGATTTGACTGTGTGTTAGAAGTATGAACGATACCAGTGGAAAATTCTGCTTGTATTACTATTATTATTATTTTTAAATCCTATGCCTAAAGACACAGGCTTGTGAGTCTTTGGCCTTTTTCAGTATTCCTGTCAAAAGGAAGAGTCCCTGTACATATTTAACTACGTGAGGATTCCTTACTGAGACTATTGAAGTACTTCCTGATTTTTTTTTTTTTGTCATTTATCTCTTTGAATGTACACTTTAGTCTATCTTCCTGTAACAGCCTTAGGTTTGTCTGGGCTAATTTGAATTTTTATTTATTTTTTTTGAAAGTAAAAAAAACTTTTATTACAATTTAGGACAAAGGATGAACAAATGTAGCAGTAGTATTCACTGGATATTATGTGGAAAATGAACTATACAACTTGTGGGTGGGTACAAGAGGGAAAAACAGGGAGAGAGCAAGAGAAGGGAGGTTGGAACTCTTCTTGTTTAACCCATATCTGTCAATTAAATGCCTTCCTCACCCCATGGTAATAATTTAAATATTAATTATTTGATAAACAACATACTGAGATATCACTGCATGGTCTCTCTTCATATGCTGCCCTAGAATCTACCGGTCTGAATTGACAGTGGTTTCACTGCCATCTACGATCTACAAACTACAAATCTTCCTGATTGAAATCTCTCATGTAACTGGGATTACATGTATGTGCCACAATGCCCAGCCCTGAGCAAAAGTGATTTTACAATTCCCGAAAAACCCCCAAAACAAATGAATAACAATTATCACAGAAAATAGATAATCTTAGGCACTCATGGAGATCAACTGAAGAAAGTTAGAAATCAATGAATTTCAAAAATTAGAAGAATAAAATCATGGTGATTTTTCAAGTGGCATATCTTTATAAATATGGCCTAAGCTCATAGCCATTTTGTATTTCTAAATATAATAAAGTTTAATTGTTTCAATGATGAAAGAAAAAGATGAATCTTATGTTTAATGCTACACCTATTGAATACATAAATCAACTTTGAATACAAACAAATCTTTATCTCCAAAGCAGCATTCTCCAACAATGACAAAACATTGGCACAATTAGCCACTTTTTGAAGATTATCATCCAACCTGATTTAATTTATGAGTGGTTGAGGCATACCACTTTATTGACCTCACTGCTAAGAAGTAAAATTAGCAAATAGCTTCCACAGGAAGCTAAGTGGTAAGGGAAAGCTGACAGATTATATGTAAATGAATAGAAGTGCCTAAGTTCCAGTAAATTTTTGTTCCTAAATTAAGTGGTACATCAGTTCATACATGTGGCTAATTGCTTGCTAATGTTATACATGATAGCAATATCATGAGAGGCAGAAATTTATACACACACATAAACATAAGTAGTATATGAACTCAATTCTGACATATTTCTATAATAGTTTAGTTATTTGAGTATATGTAAGAAAAATATATAATTATGAACAGATATACAAAAGTGAGAAGTTTTTTCAAAATTATCATTTATTTCTTAGTAATTTTTATTACCTACCACATACATTTGTTATTGTCATTAATTTATTTGCATCTGAATTGAGAAAGTATTTATTTAAAACAATTTTCTATAAGTTGTCTGTCCTGGAGTTAAATACTAGAAAATTCTAGAAAACATATGTAGTGTATATGTTAGAATAAATATACCTTTTGAAAATCCTTGATATTAACCAGGTTGAATGAAAATATGTGGTCCTTTGCTCCAACATACAGCCTACTCCGTTCCTCATCCAAAAGAAAAGTATGGTAATTGGAGCTGTTGGCCAAGCCATTGAAAGTAATCACATTGTTGGATTCCAGCATTTCTGCAAAGTAACAAAACAGGGCACTGACATTAATGTGAAGTTCTACATAAACAGAGACTATTGGTATATGATCATTCTGTTGTTAATAGTTAGAACTTGTTCCATGGCACTGAAAGATACATAGGAATCAAACTGTTACATTTCATTGAATGGGACTCACCTACATCCATTTGCTGATTTCAAACACAAGATGTGCATACCCAAAGAACAGAGGGGGAGAAATAACTTGTCTACACATGCTGATTTAGAAGAATCTATTCACATGTAGCAATAGATCTGAATGGCCAGTACTATATATATCATGTTCTTTAATATTATGTGTTTAATGCTATGCTTGTTTATTTTATTTGCTTTAAATCATTTGTTTCAAGCTAGTAGGTTAAGCACAAGGCACCCTGACTATAAAGGGATGGAAATTAGCTGCCTCTACAGATCTAGGGGTTAAGCCATTGGATAGATTAGAAGAGAGCTATGTATCATATTGAAGCTATCATTCCTATTCATATTGTTAAAAATTATAATCTACCTTAGAAATCAAACTAGATAACCAAATAAATTGAAAGATAAATAAATGAAAACTGAACCAAACCAATCTAAAAAGACAAAAACAATATTAGTTCATAATAAATCGTGAAAAGTTAAAAGAATAATTAAAAACTGAAAAAGTCTTATGCAGGATACACGAGTGAATTTTCATTTGAACCACCCAGAAGACACATAAAACAGCTTTGAGCATCAGATATTAGAAAGCATAGAAAAAGAACTACCTTAGCTCCAGATTGGGGGATTATTTTATAAGAGTTAGTGTGAAAGTAAAATTAGACAATGAATGTAGTGTCTAGGACAATAGTTTGCATACTAATAGTTTTCACGGAATTAAAGACTGCCTCTTTGTATAAGTACAGGTAAAATGCTAGCATGTTTGAACTGTTTGACCAGACATAGGAAATTAGGGTCCAGATGGAGGATATTGAAAGCAGTTGTATACTTTTTAAAGTTATTTTTAAAAGAGTGCTGTTAGTCAGACATTTTTCATTGCCCTGATAAATCCATGTGGAAAATGATTTAAGGTAGCGAGTATTTACTTTGGCTCACAGTTTTAGAGGTTTCAGACTATAATACCACTGCTTTTAAGGCTTGTGGCAAAAAGGTAGAAAGAGTCTGGGGGAGGGGAGCAGCAGTGAAAAGATGTTCATCACATAACAGCCAGGAAGCAGAAAAAGACTACAAAAAGGACCCATGGGCAAGGTAATCCCTTCAAGGGCATGTAATCAGTGGTGTCTCTGTAAAAAATGGTTTAATTTTTTTTCTTGCTTTGAGACATTAGCAGATCCTCTACCACTTGAACTATACTCCCAGCTATCTTCTCAAATTTGGAATATCAAACAAGTATTCTGGTTTTACATGGTTTACAAATTATGTAATATTTTAACGACTTGCTTAGCGACTAAAGGAAAGATGTATTAATTGTAAAGGAAGACTAATAATTACTTCCCAGTGTTATTATTATCACCATTATTATTATGCTGTGATATAAGAAAACATAGGCAATAAGCATGAGTACATGCATTTGTTAGAAAAGAATCAATTCATATTTCTTCACTATTATTATTATTATTATTAAGTAGTTGTACAAACGGTTACAATTTTGAAGGTCAGGTTACAATGCATATAACTTCAAGCAGTAGTTATCACCACTTATATATTACATTCTCTTATGATAAAGTTTCAAAATAAAGTTTCGAGTTTTATATATTCATATAAAACTCAAAACTTTTGAATTAGATTTATTTTAGTCTAATAACATATAGCATAATAATAAATTATCATAGAACTATTTTGTAATCAAAATATGCAACAAAGTAACCATGGGAGAAGCCTAATTATTTATAATGAGTCAGTTCTAATGTTACTCTGTCAATTCACTTGTGGATGTTCAGATGTTCCTTGTCTTCCTATGTTCTTTAATGTAGACGCTTTTGGAAAATAATAAGAGAGAGGAAATAGAAACTCTTAGTACCATCATTATCATTACACTATTTAAGATGTTTAAATTTATTTTATAAACTAATGTTCTTAAACAGTCATGTCAACACATAGAACATAGATGGGAAAATTTACATCATCATCAGGCATGATGATTCACTTCTGCAAAATACAATTGTATATTTCCTGTGGTGTTCTGATTATTTTAATGGTAAGCAGATTTAAAGAGATGATTACATTGCAGTGACCAGGACAAATGCCCCAAAAGGTGGTGAAATGAACAGTCATTATAGAATGCAGGAATGTCCACAATTAAATTTTTATAGTAGGATGGAGACTCCTATAGACTTGACCTTCAACTTCAAACAAGAGTCACTCTGTTCTTTTTATTTTTGACTTCAGCTACTCTCTCTCTTTGGTTCTCTCACACATCTCTCAACTTTTATGGTACGAAAGTTAACAGGACCTCACAAGTTGTAGGGCTCAAATGAATTGCCTGCATTCATTGATGTCTTTAGACTTGTTTCCTTTTCTCATGATTTGAACTTTGTCCTTTTCATGCAACAAACATCCCGCTTAATCCAGTCATAGACTAGGTCTATAATATGGCAAAACATTCTGACTAAATGATAACCACAACTAGATATTTGTAAATATTGGAAAGTTCTGTAAGTTTCAAAGAATTTTACATCTTATACTTTAGTACTTCTTAGATCCTTCTCTTTCTTTCTCTTTCTCTCTTGTCTCTTTAGTGCCCAAAAAGTTTCAAAGCAGAGTTCACAAATTTTTGTTTGAAGAAAATAAAGCAATTTTTATTGTCATTATAATTTATACAAAATGGCAAGAAGAAAGAGCATTTTATTTTTCTACTAAAATAGAGTGGGATCAAAAAACAAAGGAAGCCAGGTGCCTGTGGCTCATGCCTGTAATCCTAGCTACAAAGGAGTCTGAGATCTGAGGATCACAGTTTAAAGCCAGGCCCAGCAGGAAAGTCTGTGGAACTCATCTCCAATTAGCCACCAGTCAACTAGAAGTGGTGCTATGGCTCAAGTGATAGAGCGCTAGCCGTGCGCTGAAGAGCTCAGAGACCGCTCAGGCCTAGATTTCAAGCCCCATGACCATTAGGAAAGAAAAAAAGAAAAAAATTAGAGGTGAATAAAATTTCATAATGAGAAAAATCACATTGTTTTCACCTTATTTGTTAACTCACCAAGTACTAGTTTCTAATATTCTACTACTCAAACTGGGGACAGCTGCTCTTGCCTATAATCCTAGCTACTCAGTAAGTAGAGAGAAGAAGGATTGCAATTCAAAGCAAGCCTAGGCCATAAAGTTCACAAGACCCAGATTCAACAGAGAAAACCAGGTGTGGTGATATGCCTTTCAGCGCAGCTACGACAGGAATGATAGATAGAGGACTTAGGGCCCAGGCTGGCAGGAAGGGAGAAGGTAGAGGAAAAATGGAGAGGAGAGTGGGCAGAGAGATCCTATCTTAAAAATAACCAGAGCAAAAAGGATTGCAAAAAGTTAGCATGGTAGACTTAGTAGAATGCTTCTGTCTGATGCTAGCATGGGCCATGGGCAAAAAAAAGTCCATAAGACTCCATCACCAAAATAACCAGCAAAAAGGCTGATGGTGCGGCTCAAGTGGTAGAGTACCAGCCAAGCAAACAAGCTAGCCAAGCATGAAGTTCTGAATTTAAAGGCTGGAATTGACAAAAGGTATATTTCCATACTTTATCAGAGGTGAGATTCTTTCTGCTTCCTTGATATTGTCTTTCAGAACTATAGAATATTCAAAACCGATAATTCAAAAGTTTGATTATCACTCATTACCATATAACAATGAAGTTAGTTAGACTCTTTAATATTTATATGCTGTTGTTCAGAATAGTTGGTCTTTTTGAACAACAGTAAGTCTGGGAACAATCTCATCTAAAACTATAGCTTTAACCATTACAAGTATTCTGACATATGTCAAATGTATATCTTCCAAGACAGACTTCCTCCAAAGACCAAACAAAGACTTACTAGAAACTTCTATTTAGATGGTGCACAAACATCACCATGTCTGCATGACAAACAAAACTCACTGAATATTTTTCTTTCCATTATTGACATCATTAGCTTTCCATGTGTTTTAAGATGGTTGTGACTTTCCTCTCATCCATAGAGATGTGTGTAATCTAGAGCCTCTTCTTCACCCACAGATCCAATTAATCATTTAGTATACTTTTGCTTAACACAATAATTTGTCCTGAATTTCCTTTGATTACCTAACCACTGCCAGTGTCCTAGTTTAACTCTCTACAATATCTTCCCTGAGCATTTGTAAGTCTTCAGTGACTCCCTTCTAATAGAACATCATCTACAGGGTTACATCAATGAGCAGGTGATACAGTTTCTCCAGAGAAAACTTTCCACAGTGACGAGGCCATTTTCTTCTATCTTCTTCTCTGATCTCATGGGGAAGATAATGGAAAGAAAACAGGAACCAGAAAGAAAAGTTGCACAGTAAAAAAAAGAGAAGAAATTACCGAAGGAATTTCATACTATTAGAACATATGAAATACAGAGAACCTTGAAAAATTTTGATGTCAGATGATGAAGTCTTGTAGAAATCACCAAATATTCCAGGTAAGAGAGCTTTAGTAGGACAAAGGTTAAAAAAATCACAAATATTTCATCCACAAGTGGTTTTATTAAAAATTTAACCTCTCAAAATATCTGAGTCTAATATTGTTAGAAAAAAGGCATGTATCATATTTATTTTATTTTATTTTATTTTTGTTGATCATTGGTCTTGAACTCAGAGCCTAGGAGCTAGTCCCTTACCTCTTTTGCTTAATCCTAGCACTCTACCTCTTTGAGCCACACTTCTACTTTTAGTTTTTGTGTGGTTTTTGAGACAAGCATTGAGTTTAAAAGTTATCACCCATTTTCTCTGGTCCTGTGTTTATGATTTCTTACAGCTTTCATGTAGTCTCTCCATCCCAATACAAATAATCAGGCCA